ATTGCGTTTATAAATTGAGGAGATATAAACTATCGTATCTTTCAAGTTGAATGAAACTGCACACAGTGCGCAAAATTTTTGTTCAAATCGGTTCAGTAGTTTATGAGTAAACAACGTGACACACCCGTAATTTATAAATATTAAGAAGATGACAATTTTCAAGCTTTTAGTAAGAATAATGTATTCAAAAACGAATTGTTAGTTTTTTTGACTTTGAATAAAAATGTAATCCTTTGTCATCATTTGTCGTTGCTTGTTTTTAATTCCGCCAATACCCTGCGGTGGTGATCTTTTGAAACTAAATTCCACAGTCAACTGGTTAAAAGATTATTTAAATGATATCTTAAATTATCTTTAAGTACAAGTTATAATACATACCGATTGATTACTTCATTACAATTTAATATCCATTTTTTTGACATTGACCAACCGAATGATTAGATTATATTCGATGGAATTTGATTAATATATCGTAACATATATAGATGAATTTTCTCACGAAATCCAACCCTTATTTAGCCCTTGATGCTCGTGGGACGTTGTCTAACGTCGTTCGTTCCGCAAACCTCCCGTCATTTCTATTAAATCCCATGGGTTGGTTATTAGAGAAGGAAACAACAACAACAATCTGTAATTGGTACGGAAAGCATGCATGCGAAGGGAATCACTATGAACTCTGCGTTTAGTACATACATATGTATATACACACATATATGTAATCTTATATATTACTTTTCTAGTCACCTGCTGTTAAGACCATAATCTTGAATAGAGATATGTTGCTTGTATATGTCTTTGCATGTGTGTACATATGCGTATACAGGGAGCATGCGTATGTATTTACTATGTATTTACTATGTATATACGTGTTTGACATATAACTGGTAACACGAAACTCACTTCCGCTATTATTATTGTATGTCGCAATAGATAAAAGTTGTTTTTAAGTTCTCCTTCTTGTTTTGTCTATTGAGTGGTAAACGTAGTATCAGTTATGATTACAAACCAAACTCGTTTTTAATATAGACAAAAATAATTGTCTACATTTTCTAACATCGTTTATTCGATAATGATAATATAACGCGTTGACAGGTATTTACAGATTGTAGAAATGTCATTTTGTTCAAATTACAAATTGGAAAAAGTATCTTTTATATACAAATATATATAGAAATTGGTCTGTAAGAATGAACTTTGATCTCTGATATATTCTGCATGTTGAATACAGAGATAACGATTCACATACCTTTTGATACTATCGAAAAACTTTTATATATGTATATGTTTATGTATATGGATGTGTGTGTGTGTGTGTGTCTGTGTGTCTGTGTGTTTATGGTATGGGGAAAGAGGAGTAGAAGTACCGTTATGCAGGGCCAGAAAATTTCTCTCTCTCTCTCTTTCTCTTCCTCTCTTGGTTAGTGAATGCAACGTGGCTGGCTTGGTTGAACTATACTTTATATACTCGCTAAAACTTACAATCTCTCTGTCCGTCTCTCTCTCTCTCTCTCTCTCTCTTTCTATGTTGGTTAATGTCTATCTCTTTCTACTCGAAAGTCTCGTTTACCAGCGTGAAGAGAAGGACTGCTACTTGTAACGGAACAAGATATGGTGTTACAAAGTCAAGAACCTTTCTATCAATTTATTTTTATCTTACCTTTAAGTTACAAAAACAACAACAACAACAAAACATAGACGAATATTCATTCCCAATAATTTATGGTGCAGTTAAAATGAAACGAAATGAAAACGAATTATTCCATTATTCAATTAAACGTGATCTTTATGAAATACTAGGGGTGCCCTAGTGTGGGTGCCTAGCTGTGGCTCACGAATTACCTGCCTACCGAAATTAATGCCTTATTGCGTTTATAAATTGAGGAGATATAAACTATCGTATCTTTCAAGTTGAATGAAACTGCACACAGTGTGCAAAATTTTATTCAAATCGGTTCAGTAGTTTACGAGTCCATTGCGGACAAACAACGTGACACCTACTTTATATATATGAAGATTTATACTAATTTGATTATAATGTTGCCATAAAAAAAAATAAGAAAAAAGGAAAAAAAATTCATATTAAATATGATATTAAATCGGCAAAGTATTACGAAGAAATAAATAAAGTTAAAAGGCGTAACAATTTAAAATATCCCGTAGAAGTATTAGTAGTAGTGTATTTATACTTTGAATTTCTAGAAGTAGAGATACTTTATATGGAAAGGAGACATACGTTCCTGTGGTATACTTCTTCTTTTACTTTTTATTTTAAAAGAACTTCCACCAGTCCGTTAGCAGCAGCAGCAGCATCTCTCTCTCTCTCTCTCCCTCTCTCTCCCTTTTTCTTTTTTTTTTCTTTCTTTCGATCAATCGATACGTAAGTACTATATACATGTATACCTTTCGAAGAAGAGTTTCAAACGACATTCAAGAAAGATACTTTGAATCCTTCAAGAAGTTTTATTCTATTGAATTTTTAATATCTCTCGTTTGATATCTTTGAAAGTTCGAGAAAAGATTGTGAATATATCGTATATATATATATATTTATATTTACAGTTATATTTCACACGTAGATAATTAAAGAATGAATGACGGCACATGCTTATGTGGATGGGAGTGAGAAAGTAGAAATGTTAATTACACCCTGAGAAATGTATCCTGCGTGTCGCTAAAAATGTTCAATGTGTGATACCACCGATGATAAGAGAATACTACTTTTATTCTTATTTCCTTGAATACATACATACATAGGTGTTCCTTTTTTTCCTTTATTTACCTTTTCGTCTTTCTCTTCCTTTTTCTTTGTTTCTTTTTTTTTTTTTTTTTTTTTTGAAAGAAAAATACACACACGGGAAAATACTCGTTAAAACTGTAAGTATTAATAAGATCAATTATATTAATCATT